TTTCTGCAACTGGTGTAGCACGCTAAGCGTGCTCTGTGCCGCTTAGCGCACTCTACTGTGAAGAACCAGTGAATTCTTTTTAATGTTTTGCTTGGTTTTTATTTTTCCCACTTCCACCTAAGCATTAAATATTAAATAATATTAGTATAATTAATTATTTTGTTGTTGTTTGGACTCAAATTTTGGCTTGATAGCTTGAGGTCGCTTTTGGTGATTTTCCAAGTTTGAGTGTTTCAACTTGCGAATGCGTGGTAATAATTTTGTTAAAGTTTTTACACGTTCGAGGTATGTGTTTATAGTTTTCTATACTTTAGCATATTCATGATACTTATACTTTTTACAATTTTTATGCCATTCATTCTTTTGTATACTTGTTCATTTGTGAATCACTTTATTTTCTATCCTTTTTGTGAGGTAGCTTTCCATTTTCACATATGCTGGAGACCATAACTCTTATCGATATCCATGTTGTTTTTGCTAAATGCTTGTCTATGAGTGTTTGGTTCATCTTTTTTTATGGATATTGATTCTTTATTTTCTTGAACCCTCGACTATGATTTTTAGTTGAATTTTTACCTTGCCTTAGAAAGTAGGGAGTATTCACTTTAGTGTTGGTTGAATTCAAGTTGGAGAGAGATTTGTTTGCTCACTTATGTTGTTGATATCTATGAGGCTGAGAAAGAAAGAAGAAGAAGAAAAAAAAAGTGAAAAAGAAAGAAAAGAAAAAGAAATAAAAAATTGAAAAAAGTTTTGAAAAACAAATACAAAAAGAGTATGAAATAATAGTGTGTTAATAAGTGATGTGTGTTGGTTTGAAATTTCGAATGAAGAAGAAGTTTAATTGAAATTATTTTCCTTGAATCTTTGTGAATTATTCACTCCCTTAGGTTTAGGCAAGTTTTTGTTTCGATTAACTTTAGGACTTATCCCTTGTTTGTTAATCAAGCCACATTACAACCTTGAAAAACCCTTGAGATTCTTTCCTTTATATTTTCAGTATGAATTTTTGGATGAATGCATAATTTAGGCTTTTGTTTGCAAGATTGTGGATGAGTGAAAATACCTTATTTTGTGTGTTTTTCATCTACCGATGATTGATTTTTCTAGGTGTGATTCATTTATGAACTAATACTATTTTAGAATGTTCGACATATTCTTTGTATTTAATATTCGTTTCATGTTTATGTTATCGTTGTAATTTAGTGGTAAGTATGTTTCTTCATGTGTATTATTTTTCATTTGAGCCATTGCATTTGTTTTCTGTTTTCAAAACTTGTTGATTCATGATATTTTGGTTGATTACTTTTGGTTCTTTGACTTGTTTGTCTTTGTTTGAGGACAAACAAGTTCAAGTTGGGGAGAGTTCAATAAGTGCAAATTTGTAACTATTTTTGTATATAGTTTTTGTTTCACTTATCGACTTTTTATTGTTAATATCATTGAATAAACCTGACTTTTGTGTAAATATGTTTGGTTTGTGTTTATTTGTGTTTTTATGTACATAGTATATTGTTTGATGTTTTTCCATTTATTTTGTAGGTATTTGTTGCATTTTGGAGCATTGAGAAATAAAGTGTCGAAGGCATGGCTACGAATGCGTGTTCTTGGAATAAAAGACCAATTTAGAGACGTTTTATCCAGGAGAGTCCGCTTAGCATGTAGGAGGCCGCTAAGCGCGAGTTCCCTCAACGCATTTTGTAGCACGCTGCTTGTATTTGACAATTTGGCATAACCAATATTTTGAAGCCCTCTTAGCATGGATAACGCGCTTGGCACGGTTTAGGTCGGTTTGATGTGTAAAATAAGCAAGTCTCGCATAGCGCGCCAGGCCCGCTTAGCGCGGTCTGCTGATATTTGTTTTATAACTTTCATTTCATCTCATTTTTAAGGATGGTTTTGGGGAATTTTTTGCTCGCAACTCCACGAACCTTCAATTTTGCTAGGATTAGCTTAGATAACAATTATGGACCTTGCATATGGATGATCCGGGGTGGATTGCTCTTCGATCGGTGCTGACAAATCGATAGATTTATGGTTCATTTCTCTTTTTCTTTGTGTACTCTCTATTGGTTGGGTTTGTATGTATATAAAACTTGCTTTACGAATCTTTGTGGATTGTTGTCCTAGATTTTTACTTTGTGTTAGGGATTTAAGTTGTTATAGACATATACTACTTAGATTCTTATCTAGGATGATTATCTGTTAGTTTCTGAACTCTAGAGATAGATTTAGAGCTAACATCGACTTAGGTATCAGAGCTTAATGCCTTTGTGTTTTTTGTGTTGCTCTGAGAGATCGTCGATGCAAGTAAGCACGATTGACTTCTGTGTTATTGAGGTGGTTGAGAGATCGCTACCGAGGTGATGCAGTAGGCCTCTCAATTTGGGTTAGAAATGACATAGGTTGTGAGTGATACATAATGATATTGATGAATTTTGTAGGTTGAGTATAATAGGTCAATAGGTTTAAGTTTGTGAGAAGTAGTATATATGCATGCTTGATAAGTTATTCCGTTTCCCTTTTTATACATTTATTTTCTGTTAATACATTTTCTTTCAACCCATTTATCCTCAAAATCATTAACGATAGATTTGTCGAACGACAACTCAATAACCAATCTCTGTGGACACGATACAATATAACCTATATCACCCGATAAAATAATACTTTACTTTTTGCTTGCCACTTTACCGCACCAGCACACACCAAGTTCTAATCTTAAGATTCATATTCATACTAAAACCAAAATTACTATCACGAACAGTTTTTTCCCCAGGGAACGACATATTCTCTCCTTCATGCATTTTGCCCTTCGTAGGTTTCCACGCATCCTTCAAGAATGGATAATGCCAAAAGATAGTTACTTGGCCTTGTTTTAAATTTCAAGTACTTCGTTGAAATAATTATCGAACTTCTCTAGAAATATACTAAGTCCCGAAGTCGTAGCACATTAAAGAAACAGAACAAACTTCTTCAGCCAGCGCCCGTCGAAGTCTTTCCAAAGCTTGCTAGTCGAAAATGCCACAGACTCAACTCAACTTCTTTAATTATCCATTCAATTTTTTCTTGATATATCAAGTTCTCATGTGTGTCGAAATTCCATCTAACAGTAGTATACCTCTGATGGCAATGTGATTCTGGTGTGTCTTTATGTTGATGACATATTGCTTACACGGAGTTGTACTGTTGAGATAAGCAAGTTCAAGAAAGTGCAGATGAATGTAATTGATATGATTGAACATGAAAACATTGTAGCTTTTCTAGGGATGTAGATTCTACACTTTGAAAAGGGAATCATTATGCATCAGCAAAAGTATGAACTTAAGTTGTTGAAGAGGTTTGATCTGATGAATAGTAAGTCTGCACTCACACCTGCAGAAACAAACCACATACTAGACTCTGATCCAGATGGTGAGGAAATAAATGCTACAATCTTCAAGGTGTTGCTTGGCTCTCTGAGATATTTGTACAATACTAGACCTGACATATGTTATGCAGTTGGATGGTGAGTAGGTTTATGAGTAAATCAACGTGGTCACGTTATCAAGCTGCAGTCAGGATTCTCAAGTATGTAAAGGAATTGAAACATGAAATTTTGTTTCCATCTGAAGTGTCAGATGTTGCTGAGCTGATATATTATTCAAACCCTGATTGTTGTGGAAAAAGAGTTTATAGAAGAAGCATTACATGTTACATATTTATGTAGCTATGTGCTTCCATTTCTTTGTGTTCCAAGAAGCAACTAATGATTATATTGTCAATCTATGAAGTTGAATACATTACGAAGTATTGTCTGTGTGTTAAGCTGTTTGGTTGATGAATTTGTTGCATAAACTAAAGTTCAAGATGAACAAACTAGTCAAGTTGATGATTGATAACAAGTTAGAAGTGAACCTTACCAAGAACCCAGTGCTGCATGAGAGAAACAAACATATAGATACTAAGTATAATTTTCTACGAAATCAAGTTCAAAATGGAATGTGTGAAGTTGTTCACTATAGCACTCAGAAGCAACTTGCAGATGTGCCGATCAAGGCTATCAAGACTGAACACTTCATCAATTTGAGGGATGTAATTGATGTTGTTGATTTTAACTTAAATATGAATTAAGGGATGATGTTAGTTGTAATTTAAATTTAAGGTGTTAAATAAGTTGCTTTAGTGTGTATTTGAGTTTAGCTTGCATTTAGCTTTCATTTTGAGTTGGAGTATATAAACCTAATCTTATTTAGTTAGTTGTATGGATTGTAATCACTTTTGAATTTGAGAAAGTTAGTTACACTCTCTCTTTTCTCCGTTTCTTTATATTCTTTCATCTTCATCTTTTTTAAAGTTTCTTGTGCATCAATGGAGGTGTGAACTCCTGCCAACTAAACTATATATTTTATAAAACAATGTTGATTTATATTTATCAAAAATATATTTTCAGTGTAGCGTATAATTTTTAAAGTTAAGACTAAAGAAGATCTTAAATTTTTTATTTATGTCAGAGATAAATAAGTTATGACTACTGCCACTAATATTGTATATAAGAGAGTTTTTCAAAATATTTAATAGATAATTCTTTCGTATGCTTTGATATCATATAATAATATTTAAACTCTTCCCTAATAATAATATTTATCTATTCAACTTGGTGACTAAAATCAACTGAAAGTAAAAGTATAGTTTTTCCACTCAAATATCCAATCAAGAAATAAAAGTAGTGCGTTGTTATTTTTCACCTTGACCAAAAAAAGACCAAAGAAAAAAATAGCGCACTTTTGGTCACACTCTAGATAAGTCCCCATCCGACCAATTATTATAAGATAAGTGGAGTGTTATATAACAATGATAATAGAATTTATTCACCTTCCTCCTCCAAGAAAAGAATACATGACACATACAATAATGTTAGAATGATCATCACTCACTAGCTAGCATATATTGCTACAAATTTATGGAAGATAGTGGGGGCTATTCATATATAGGATTCACAACACAATTGCACATTTATACAATTAAACTTCTTCCATGTTCTTCTTTTTCTCTTCTTCATCCTTCTTCATTCCTTTCTCTGCATATTCTTCCACAGGAAACACTTCACCAGCTCCTCCTAATGAGTTTGCTACAACAACACCTTTTAGTGAATCTTGTGCTGAAGCTTTTTTATTACCATTCCTATAAATACCATAGAGTATCATCTGAACCAACCCTAGTACAAATCCAAGCACATTTGGTAGCTACACATATAAATACAACAATTTAGTTTCAATGTTTAAAACATGATTCATGAATTTCTAAAATAATAAGACTTACAGCAATGCATATGTCTTTGAGAAAAAGACCATAACCAAACCACATAATTGCACTCAGTGTGAGAGTAAACGATAAATTGAACGGCATAAACTCAACACTCTTTGTTCTAATAACTTGTGCCACAATGGTTAATGGTGCTGCAAACACACTAACTGATATAGAAACACAAACCCATCCAAGAACTTCAACACGAATCGGACCATGCAAAGCGTACTGTGTCACCAAAAGGATCAAACCAAACGATCCAATGTTCATCGCCAAAACTAACTTAATACTTAATTTCTGCATTAAAGTAAATAATAAACATGTTAATTTTTAAACTATATAGCAAAAAAATTTAATTAAGGTAGCTATAGAGGGAAATTACCCTTGCATCCTTGGTTGCATAAATGATGTACAAGATTATGTACATGAGTTCTACTACGCATCCGAAGGAGTTAATGGTAATTAGGAGAAATTCATGTTTTTTGAGTAATGCATAGTATAACCAAAGCATGGAACTGAATAATGCCACCAGATAAGGTAGTGATTGGAAACCCTCAGTTGATTTCTTCTTATATATGCGATAAAATGTTGTACTGTAATATAATAAGAAAATTTATAATTAAAATTAGTTCATGTTTCTATACTATTTCTGTATAATCTTGATTATATATATATATATATATATATATATATATATATATATATATATATATATATATATATATATATATATATATATATATATATATATATATATATATATATATATATATATATATATATATATATATATATATATATATATATATATATATATATATATATATATATATATATATATATATATATATATATTTTGTGAATATCTATAGTCTTAAGTAAGTGGAAGTATAAAATACTTACATTGGAGCCAAGAATACCATGAAGGAAATGACATTACCTATGCATCAAAAATGAAAATAATTATATTAGTAAATTAACTAAATAAACTAATATAATAATGAATAATGATGAATGCATGAGATATGATACCTAGCATGCCAAAGGCAAATGCTAAAGTGGAGTGACTGATTGCCATGAGAATTTGGACTGAAAACTTCTCTTCCAAATCTCAAGCAATGGAAGCACTGAAGTTAATTGATGAGAGAAGCTTACTCCTATTGTAGATATATATACACGTTCCAAAGTGTGGAAATAAAATATGCATGCAAAAAGGAACGTACTATATTAAAACTAAATATAAAATTTGATACTAATTTTAAAAAAATAGAGATTTTTGTGTGTATACTTTTGAGAGAAGTGAAATGAGTGATTGAACTTTTGAGTTGTTGGACATATACATATGAAACGTAGCAGCACAGACTTTTATTTTTTTTAGTTGCGGTTATTGGTTTGATATTTTAGTCAAATGAGAGCTGTCAGAATAATTCCCTTTTTTTTACATTACTATTTACATTCATTCTCCATCAATCAACAAACTTGCATGATTCTTAATGTTAATGTTTAAAGTGTATAACTAGGCACAACACACTTGGTACTTTTATTCTAGGAACGAGTCATGTCTTGGCTATTGATATTATTTGGTATTTACAAAGTCTCTCTTAATTATTTTCATTTTTAGGTCATACACTTATGATTCCTCACATGTATTGCAAATAATTTAACAATGTTTAAAGTTTATAAGAAATTATTTAAAGGCCTGACACAACTCTTCGGTTAACGTGCTTATATAAACTTGTGTTGGGTTTGAGTTTCATTCTAATATGTAGAAAGATCTAAATATAAATAGTTCATTTGTCTCACTTATATAAGTGGAGAATGTTAATTTAGGATTAAGAGAAATAGAGAAAATAATTATTCAAAAGGAGAGAAAAGAGGAGAGAAAGTCATTCACGTTTTTTCTGCAGCAGTCTCACTAAAACGACGATTCCCGATTCGTCCACCATAGGATTGAGTTGAAATTTTATGGGCTTGTTCGCAACACATACATCTAACTTTCGACCGTTGGGATCTTAAAAATAAGGTCTGAATTGAGAGATATGGTCTTCGCATTGAAGCTGCAGATTTGAGAAAATTTTCAGCTTTTTAATTCTTATTTGTAAGTTAGTTTACTTTGTGATTTGCCATTGTTATCGTTATTTGTGAAACACTTTAAGACTCTCTTGTAACCTCAATTTATTATAGTGGAGCAATTTTCTTTAGTATGGACGACTCGTGGTTTTTACTCTTATATTGAGGGGTTTTCCACGTTAAAAATATCGTTAAGTTTTTTGTGTCTTTATTGTTCGATTGTCGTCTTATATTTGTTGTTGATCCTCAAGGTTCCTATAAGTTTGAGAAATATTATATACGCTGCATATTGTTATGTTATTTTGTCTTAATTTTCCATCAGAGTGGCATCAAAGCTCTTGGTTAAGGGCTATTGTACTTGTTTGAATGATGGAGTCAAATACAAAGTCGAAGATGTTATTGTTGAATGGTTCTAATTACAATTGTTGGAAGGGCAAGATGAAAGACTTACTATTTGTGAAGAAGTTGTATTTATCGGTTTTAAGTTTCGTAAAGTCGAATTATGTGTCTGATTATGAATGAGGGTTTGAACATCAATAAGTATGTGGTTTTATTCGTCAATATGTAGAAGATAATATTTATAATCATATTTATAATGAGACACATACAAAAACTTTGTGGGAGGAGATAGAGTCCTTGTATGCCTCTAAATCAGGAAATAATAAATTGTTCTTGTTGAATAGCTTCATTAGTTTGAAGTATAAGGAGGGGACTTCTATTTTAGATCACTTGAGTGAATTTCAAGGGCACCTTGATCAGATGTCAGGAATGAGTATTAAATTTGATGATGAACTTTTGGGGCTATTTTTATTGCTATCTTTACCAGAGTCTTGGAATACGTTTCAGGTTTCTGTTACAAGTTCTACTTCTAGAGGTGTTATTTCTTTGGAAACTGCTAAGGGTGGTATTCTTGATGAGGAAATGAGAAGGAGGCACAAAGTTCTTCATCTCAATCAGAGGGACTTGTCACTGAAAATAGTGGATAAATTATAAAAAGGAACCAAAGGGTGGTAGAGATTATGACATAAACAAGTCCAAACCACGATATAAGAATCTGGAGTGTAATTATTGTCACAAAATTGGACACATATAGAAGTATTGTTATCAATTGAAAGGGGATAACAAAGGTAAGAAAGGTAAGTCTAAACAAAGATATCCTGAAGATCATGATGATGATGATGATGATCGTGTTACTACTACTACTTATAGTGATCTTGTTATTCTATGTTTCATGAGTCTGTTAATCTCGTATTAGACGAGGGCATGTGGATAGTTGACAATGGTGCTACATTACATGTTATACCAAGTAAGAATTTCTTCACATCTTATATTTCTGGTTATTTTGGAGTGTTGAAGATGGGTAATGATGGTGTATATAAGGTAATTGGTGTTGGTGATGTTTGCTTGCAAACTAATATGGGAATGCAATTTTTGCTTAGAGATGTCAAACATGATCTAGATGTCCATTTTAATTTGATCTCTGTGCATATGCTTGATGATTATGGTTATGACAATCACTTTAGTTATGGAAAGTGGAAACTCAACAAAGGTAATTTGGCTGTGGCTCAAGGGAAAAATCTTTCTAAATTGTTTTTGACAAAAACATTGGTTGCTAGGGACAGTGTGAATACTATCGACATGGAAGTATCTTTGTGGCACCGAAGGCTTAGTCATATTAGTGAAAAGAGGATGAATGTTTTATCCCAAAAGAATGTTTTTCCTGGTTTAAAGAATGTATATTTTGAGAAGTATTCTCATTACATGGTTGATAAACAAACTATAGTATCTTTGAAGAGACATCCTCTCTCATGGATGTCAAAGTTGCTTCAATTAGTACATTATGATGTTTATGGGCCATTAAAGGTAAAATCTATTACTGGTGCACTTTATTTTGTTACCTTTGTTGATGATTGTTCCAGGAAACTATGGATTTATGCCTTGAAGACAAAAGACCAAGTGTTGGAGAAGTTCAAATAATCCCATGCTTCGGTAGAGAAACAAATAGGCGAGAAGATGAAATGTGTTCGTTCTGATAATGATGGTGAGTATTGTGGACCATATGAAAAGAATCCTCCTAAAACTCCTCAATTGAATGGTTTAGAAGAGAGGATAAATCGAACACTAATTCGTAGAGTAAGGTGTATGCTCTCTAGAACTAAATTTTCAAATGATTATTGGGATAAGGCACTTTACGCGGTGGTGCATGTTATTAATCTCACTCCTATTGTTGCTTTGAATAGTGAAGTTTCAGACAAGATTTGGTTTTGAAAGAATGTTAAATATGGTCATTTGAGAATCTTTGGTTGTAAGGATTTTGTGCATATTCTAAAGGATGAAAGATCCAAGTTGGATGCAAAGTCAAAATAATGTATATTTATCGGCTATGGGAAAGATGAGTTTGGTTACAGGTTGTACGATCCTGTAGAGAAGAAGCTTATCTGAAGCCGCGATGTAGTATTCATGGAAGACCAAAATATTGAAAACATTGATAAGGTAGAGAAGACTACACCCAAAAAATATATCAGTTTGTCTAATGTTGATCCAGTTGAGTTACCTAATCATAATCTAAATGTTATTGGTGGTGATGATCATAATGGTGATCCATATGATTATGTTGATGATCAACAACTTAGAGATGAGGTAAATATTCCAACTAATGACGATGATGAAGGGGAAAATGATATGACTCAAGATGAGAATCTTGGCGAAGCTCCAGAATCATCTCATGTTTAACTTAAGAGGTCTATCAAGCAGAGATAACCTTCTACAAGGTATAATTCTGATGAGTATGTGACCTAGACTGATGAGGGTGAACCTGAGTGTTCAAGAGGCCATGGAAATTGATGAAAATCAAAAGTGGTTGGATGCAATGCATGATGAAATAGAATCATTGCATGATAATAACACTAATGATTTAGTGAAGTTGGCTAAAGGCAAAAGGGTATTGGAAAACACGTGGATTTATAGAGTTAAATATGAGAGCAACTCTAAGTCTCCAAGATGTAAATCTAGATTAGTGGTGAATGGTTTCCGTCAAATAAAGGGTGTTGATTTTAATGAGATTTTCCCATTCGTTGTAAAGATGTCATCAATCAGAACTGTGTTAAGTTTAATTGCTACTCTTGATTTAGAGATTGACAAAATGGATTTGAAAACGGCTTTCCTTCATGGTGATTTGGAGGAAGAGATGTACATGAAACAACCTGATGGTTTTCAAGTTAAAGACAGAGTAGATTGTGTTTGTAAATTGATAAAGAGTTTATATGGGTTAAAGTAAGATATAGGGAAATGGTATAAGAAATTTGAGTCTGTTATGTGTGATCAAGGATACAAGAAGACTACTACAGATCATTGTGTCTTTGTTAGAAAATTTTCTAACGATGACTTTATTATTCTGTTGTTATATGTTGATGATGTGTTTATTATAGGAAAAAATATTTCTAACATTAACAGGTTAAAGAAGTAGTTGGGAGAGCCATTTGCCATGAAAGACATTAGAGCAGCTAAACAAATTCTTGGCATTAGAATCATACGTGACAAAAAAGAGAAGAAACTTTGGATGCCACAAGAACATTATATCGAAAAAGTGTTGCAAAGATTCAAAATGGAAAATCTAAGGCGGTAAGCACTCCTCTTTCTACTCATTTCAAATTGAGTTCTAGTCAAAGTCCTTCAAGTGAATGTGAAGCTTTTGATATGAAACATATTCCTTATGCTTCTGTTGTGGGTAGCTTGATATATGCAATGGTATGTACAAGACCAGATATAACACATGTTGTTGGTAAAGTTAGTAGATTTTTGTCAAATCCAGGTAGAGAGTATTGGAATGTTGTCAAATGGATTTTAAGATATCTTTGTTGTGCGACTTCTATGAGACTTTGATTTGAAGGAGATATATCTGCTCTAGTAGGATACTCTGACTCTGATATGGCTGGAGACATTGATTCCAGAAAGTCCACTCCAGGCTACATGATTAAATTTTTAGGGGAAGTTGTAGCTTGGCAGTCC